GGTCCCACAGTCGACTATTATGAGCATGTTGTGTAGTGTACAATAAACTTTGGATGCTCCAATATTTAAGAGAACAGTTTCTTGACGTTTGGCTGAAAGCGCCTTCCTTACAAGCTGTCCTGCACGAAGAATAACATTAATCCGAAACCTTTGACACGAAAGACTGTGAAGGCATCATTAATAAGCCTCTTGGACATCTGAATGAATGGCTCTGTGGTATTCAGCAATGAGTCTCGGTTTTGTTTGTCTTTCTTTCTTTTTGCCATCAACAGAACAGCTGGCCCACTGTGTTAGGTGCTCTTCAGCTTGTTGGATCCTGTCCATGGAAATAAAAATGATTGAAAAAAAAAAGAGCTTAGTACTGTGACTGTTGAGACTAGGGGAGAAAATGCTGATGACCACATATCTTGAGCACTCCAAGGTTGCTGTTTGCTTGCAAGGAGGTACTCTTATTGTAAGTGCAGTGTGATCATAGTTGCAATGCATATAGTCATACAATTAAATTAAATACACAGTAAATATATTTTTAAAAAATTGAAGCTCTAAATGCTACTTGTGATTAACCCCTTAAGGCACACATTAATTTCTAATTTTCGGTCAAAAAATCACCTATTTTTTTTCTTGCATAATCATGCCAGGGTTAGCTTCAAATCGAAATCTTGGTGGTGCAACGTTTGGTTGATTTATGCTAATTTGATACCAATTCCTTGCTATATCCAAAATCTCGTTGTCATTATCTTCCGATTCACTTCCATCACTCAAGAAATCATCACTCTCATCGCTGAAACTGTCTGATAAATTGGCATATTCAAAATTGTCATCGTCAGAGTCGCCCATTATCAGATAACTTTTTTTTAAATTACAAAAACACTTAGTAATATAATTTATGCAGTTAACTGCTTACTTTTATTATATTACGTAATAAAAATGGATATATTACCTTTTCCACACCAAACGACTACTTTATAGCAAAGAATTCCTAGCAAACTTATAGCTAATCATCAAAATGCGCCACGTGGTTTACACGTGGCGCATGTTGATGATTTACACAAAAGAAAAATGGTGAATAGTGGTGCCATCTATGTCAAATAAGTTTAATTATAATCTAGCCTATTTATTTTTACTGGAACGGATCTCAGACAAGCATTAGAAATAAAATAACGCGAGATACAAGGGCGCCCGTGTGAGACACGGGCATGTGCAAATTTGCCGGAAACTTTCGCCCGTGTGAGACACGGGCAAATGCGTTAAGGGGTTAAGTAAAAACTTTGGATAATGTTTTATTGTAATGAACTAGTACATCTTGCTAGTCGAACTTGCATTTTTTTCCTATGCGAGCAAGTGAAAGGGATACCATTTTGGGAGCTTTGGTTAGAAAATTTTTTAAGATAATGATGAAAAAAAAGGAGCAGACTCGATGCTTTTAATAGAATAATTTGATCTCACTATTAAAGGATTAGAACAGTTATTTTGAATAAGTTAATAATTTTAAAAATACTTATATATTATTGTGTCGACCATAAAAAGCTGGTTCTCATCTGACCTTGAGAGTTGGTGCAGATCCTGCCAAAGCTGAAAGAATTGCTCCTATGTAATTCTGATTTTCAGTTCCATTTGCCTCTCTTATACAGTAATAAATATTTATCAGTTTCTTTGCTCAGTCCAAAAAGCCACTGCTGTGGAAGTATTCGGCATGCTTCATTTTTATGCTTTCCTTGACCTCTACTTTTGTTTGAACTTTTTTACTGGAAGCTGTGTGTAGAATGCTGTGAGTACAAACTTCCTGGAGAGATTGTACCAGGCTATTGCTATTTTGTTGGCCATATTCATGTGCTGTCTTTCCTATTCAACAGATGTTAATTTTCTCAGCCACCTGTAAATGATCTAGAATGCAGTCACAAATCCAATTCTACAGCTCTTAAACTCTTATTTGTTTATTTATGGTATTTATTTATTTTGCAAAAAGCAAGAAACTAATACAGGAATAATAGTTCATTTATATACTTTTTCATAAAAACAAAAGGTGTTAATTGGAAAGCAGCTGGGGTTACATGAAACAAAAGTGCAAATGTTTGAATGTGTTGTAATGTCACTTTTATCCATGATTGACTCCATTAAAGCTGTAAATAATAATCCATGCTCACAAAATACAAACATTTTTACTATTCCAATAACCGTACATAATCTTCCAACTCCCGCTAATAATGGTCAGTGAGATATAGTTACTACCGTAATTTCTGGAAAAAACGCCGCTGCGTTTATGTGTTTAAAACTTAAATTTTCAGCGGGTGCGGTGTTTCTACCCATGGGGCGTTTAGGTGCACTAAAAATAAAATATTTCCTATGATGGTCATTGTACATAGTTTGGATGGCCTTGTCATTGTGCATAGACTGGTGCTGTTCCCACACAAAAGACCACTCAGTTGCTTTTTGCGAACGTTATTTTGTTTACATTTTTTCCCTTGAACGGACCTACATGCCTTATTCACCCTAAACGAGATCTGAGAACAATAACATTCTTCCCCCTTTCAAATCAACATTCTCATCAGTCTGAATAGTCTCTCTCCTCTGCCATTCGATGAATCTTCCAAGACCCATCCTCTCCCCACCCCTGCCTTTTCTGCAACTTTTTTCAAAGGCGGACACGACTCCACCAGCCTCGCAATAACGAACTCTGACGTATTTCCCCTTCAGCATGAATGGATTTTTCTTGGCATTCTGCCAGATACAGATCCCATCAGTTTGGGTACAAGTACTTGTTGAGTAGTTTTTAAGTAAGAAGGGAGCGGAAAATTTTTGAAAATGTCCCTAAACAGCACAGAAGCTATACTGCTAGTTTTAAGCTTAATGTAATTTCACGTGCGGAAGAAATTGGAAATCGAGCAGCAGCTCGAGAGTTTGAAGTGGACGACAGATGTATTCGACCAGTGGCGTAGCTAGGGTGGGGCAAGGGGGGACATCTGTTCCCGGGCACAGTATTCAGGGGGCGCCAAATTGATGTTACGAAATTTTAGAATGAAATGTTTACCGTTCTTGGCACAGAGAAAGGGGCGCAAAACCTTCAGATGTCCCCGGGTGCCGAAAACCCTAGCTACGCCTCTGTATTCGACGTTGGAGAACTGAAAAGAACTTCTTAAAAATATGCCGCAACAGAAACGAGCCAAAAGAAGTGGTACTGTAAGGTGGCCAAATCTAGAGGACGACCTTGCAAACTGAATAAAGGAGTAACGAGGAAAGGAAATGGCAATTTTGACTGCAAAAATTCGCTTACAAGCAAAATTTATAGCAAAACGAATGAACATAAATGATTTCAAAGGAGGTGTAGCAGATTTATGAAAAGAAAAAATATTTCTGTGCGTACTAGAACGACAGTCGGGCAACAATTACCAATGGACTGGCAAGATAAAAAGTCATCTTTTCTAAAATATGTAACATATGACTATTATTATCGACAAAAAAACATTCAAACAAAAAAAACTTTCAGTCACACATTATAAATATGGATGAAACGCCGTTAGCTTTCGACTCTCCTGCAAACACAACTGTTGATGAAACTGGTGCAAAAACTGTATCTGTGTTTATGACGGGGCATGAAAGAACGTCATTTACATGTGTGTTAGCTTGTGCCGCAAACGGTGACAAGCTAACGCCAATGATCATTTTTAAACGAAAGACTATTCCGAAGGGAGATTTTCCTAATGACGTAATTATTTGTGCAAACGAGAATGGCTAGATGTGCGAAACAGTTATGCATGAGTGGTTACAAAAAGTTTGGCAGTGTCGTATGGGATCTTATTCCCAACCAAAAGTGTTATTGATAATGGATTCCATGCGTGCTCATTTCTTTGAGTCAGTGAAAACCAGATGTCAAAAATTGTCTACGACCGAAGCAATAATTCCTGGTGGTTTGACAAAATCTTATAACTGTTAGATTTGTCAGGTAATAAATCCTCCAAAGCTGAAGTCGGAAAGCGGTGGGAGTGTTGGATGAGTGAAGGATTGCATACGTAAACCAAAAGCGGTAAAATGCGTAGAGCATCTTATGTCCGAAAGTCCGAAAGCGGTGGGAGTGTTGGATGAGTGAAGGATTGCATACGTAAACCAGAAGCGGTAAAATGCGTAGAGCATCTTATGAAGAAATTGCAAAGTGGGCAGGAAGTGCGTGGAAATCGGTAGAAACATCGTCAATAATAGCAAGGTTCAAAGAAGCTGAAATTATATCCTTAGATAAAGAGACTGTAAACCAAGAGGATGAATGCGACGATCTGGAAGACTTAGATCAGGATTTACTAAATCTTTTTAATTCAGATAGTGAAGAATCAGATTTTGATGGCCTCATATGATGTATAGTTTGCTGTAATTCGTAAGTAAAATAAAAAATTTCCTTTTGTCATCCAAATTTAATACTTCGTTGTTGCAACATTTTTTATAATATAGTCTGAGTATTACGAATATGGACTTCTTTAGTGGGTAAATATAAGTATATACGTGAAGGTAAATATATTTTCCACATTTTTTACCTTTAATTTATTTTTGAGTTATGGTTTCATTTCATGCATTTTTCTTAACTGATATGTCATATATCAGGACTTAGGTGGAGTTTTTCCATCTATACGGCCCACGAGGATGTCATGCGCAATTTAATATATTGCGGCGTTTCTGTGTAATTTAAATTTTTTTCCTGCCATTTTTCGCGAGTGCGCCGTTTACGCTGATGCGGCCTTTCTTCCGGAAATTTCAGTATATGATATGTATGAAAATACTTTATCAAATGTTAATAATATTCTAAAACATATATTAATATTAAAATTATATAAATTGCACTGCTTGGCAATAGTGGCACTTTAATTGCACTTTCACAGTTAGTGGGATAATGTGTAAATACTATATTAAATCTTGGATAATACAAGCTGAATTGGAGCACATTTATGAACAACATGAGTTAAATGTGCATTTTATTTAATACATGCTTTATAGCTAACGGGTAAATTTTTTCATAGCTGGTGCTGATATAAAAGAAATGCAGAATAAAACATTTCCTGATTGCTTTTCTTCAAACTTTCTCGCAACCTGGGATCGTGTTGCAAGAACTAGAAAGCCTATTATAGCTGCTGTTAATGGCTATGCTGTGAGTATTTTTCCCTATTAATTTGTTCAACTGTTTTGTAACAATAGAATAACTGTTTTTTTAAAAGTGTAATGATGTTATGACCCTTCCCCCCCCCCCCACATACATACACAAATTGTTCCATTTAATTTCTAACGGCAAGAAAAATATCAGTACTATGCCACTGGTTAATAGTACAGGCTAAGATGAGTGAAGATCAAAATGATAGTTCAATGTTTGGTCAATTTTCAGCTTCAAGTTGGCTGTTAAATACTGTATATGTAAGCGGAAGTGTCAGCGGAAACACAATAACATACTTTATACGTACAAAGTATGTATTAAAAAAAGAGATATTTCTTTTGAGTTTACCAGTAGAAATCTGGTAAAATAATGCTATCTATAGCCAAGTTTTTCAAAAGAATACATTCATGGATTGAAATAAATTGTATTTCTGTGCTACTCAAATAATCTTAGCACCCCACTTCAAATAAAATGGCAATTATACAAAATGGAAAACTTGCACCTCACTTCCATTGTAATACAGTCTTTCATAATTCTACAAGTCATATGCTACGAGCCATGTGAATATACTTTTAGATGTGCAGGTACCATCATAAAGCCAAACCCTGCAATGCTATGTATTTGATCATCCAGAAAGTTCTTTTATTATTCAAATCGAAATGCATTTTCTTCTAATCATTTTGTTACTGGTGAAGCAAATGTCTAAGTACGATCTTTTCTATTTGTATTGTGTAACTAACGTGTTGAGATGTGTTTTGTTTCAGTGCAGTGTTAAATATGGAAAACCGAAAAGTTTATTTTCATCACATTATGTTGATTTAAAGAAGAAAATTGCTAGTCATACTGCTTATAAAATTTATGCTATGGACAAAGTGCTGTTTCTAATGACATAGTTGGAAGGTGGTTTGGGAAGGATTTCAGCCTTGAAGATGATGCTCACTCTGAAAGACCACCCTCTGTAAACAAGGACCTGTTAAAAAAGCTGTAACTAAAAATTCTTGCTATACAGTTCAGAAATTATCAAATAGACTAAATATTCAAAAAATACATGATCATTTGAAGACGACTAGGTATGGTAGCTACTACTATGTATAGTTAGGTTTAGCAGGGCAAAATACGTTTAAAGTTTCTTCATGTGATTCTTTGCTGAAAAGAAAGAATGAAGCTCTATTTCTGAAATGGCCGATTACAAGAGATGAGAAATGAATACTATATAATAAACGTTGCATGAAAAATATCATGAATCTCCTTTAGTAACACTGAGTGGGGGCTTTTATTCCTAAAAAGTAATGCTTTGTGTGTGTTGAGAAGCCAAATGAATTGTATGCTAATTGTTGCCAATAAATCCAGCAATAAACTTAGAAAAATTGCGTCTGGAATGGACACTTTAAAAATAAAAATTGAAGCAAAGCTCTCAGAACTGACCAATTGTTGATGTGTTGTCTTCAATAATAGTGCCTCACATTTTAATAAATATTAAATAGAGACTTTTAGAGCTGGTAAGTTTTGTATCATCCTCCGTATTCATATCCCCTTGCCTTCTTGGGTTTTCATCATCTCAGGTAACTACAGTACTCTGTAGTACTCTGTGTTACTTCTTTGGAATAGTACGAGTATGTTGCTATGTCGCAAAATTGTGCTAATGTGTATTAATTAACTGCTATTAAGATTTTAAATTGAAATTGTTTGTCACTAGTGTGGTGGGAATTAACATATTTTTGGAAGTTAAAAATTTCATTATATTATTTTCATTTTTTACTTAAGGTTAGAATTAGAGCAGGGAGTATTTTTCTGAACATCTAGATGGAAACAGGGATCAAATTACTTGATCAGTGTTTCCAAAACAGATTTTCTTGCCGAACTGTGAATAGGCATTACAGTGAAAAACAGCAATTTAGAATATCTGTCACTAGAGAGAGAAGAGAGCTACGGGAGCCTTTCTTTACTGACTGTGAGAAAAAAGAAATAATTGGTGTTTTGCTTCACTTTCACTTTTGTGAATGTTGCAGTTGACAGAATTATTGATTATGATTTTTTTTTTTTTTTTTTTTTTTTTTTTTTTTTAAAGCAGAGAGGCATCAAGTGGGCTGCGATTAAAAGGGCAGGATCTCCTTGTTTTTGGAAGCTAACAGGTGTTGAATTCTGTTTCTCATGCATTTGGGTCTCACTTTGCAGGTATCAAGATGACAATCTTTGTTACAGCAGTTTTGTTTCTGTTTGTTTGGGAGAATTGAGAGTAATAAAAAGAGGAGAAGAAAATTCATCCAGTTGGTCAAGCATTTATATGTTTTTCTTTCAGCCTGTAAAATTTAAAAGGGCATTGAACTGACATTTCTTTGAAGCTTAGTATTAGCAACTAGTATTAGAGGAAAAATTAAAATTTATCTTATCTTGAAGTTGAGAAGAGCTTTGGAGTAGAGGTATTTATTTCTTGCCACCAGCAGCAGGCCTCTGGCTCCATGTTTAGCAGAGAGAAGTGAACTATGGATGTCGAACTTTGCTCAATGTAGCTCCGATCCAATGAGGGCAGTTTCTGCTTCTGGTAGCTAATCCATCTTCTTGTAAAAGCAATATGGGAGGCTAACAGTTTCACTTCTGAGGGGTTTCCATCATTTCTTCTTTTGAAGAATTAAGACGTGTTTTTTACTGTAAATCATTATATACCAAAATCATGGAAAGAGCAGGTGCTTTGAAAGAATGTGCTGCAACTCCCAAATTGGTCTTCTATACCAAATAAACCAAAGAAAGAAAAATTATGTGTTTATGAGTTTGCTAACATCTCAAGGACAATCTTTTCAATTACTATGTTTACTTATTATTGCTGAGGACTGACCGATTACCCCAGTGAATTCGATATCACTAACCCTGCTTAAGTGGATCTGGGAAAACAGCATGCTTATCAGCAAAGAGGATTTCCTGAGAGTACTGTCATTTTCATTTATGAACTCTCTTGCATTCTAAATAATATGTGTGATTAATTTTCCTTTGCTTTGTTTTTCCTATTATTTAATTGTTTGAATTTTTGGAAGTTTAATTTCCTAGGAATGATCAGTTGATTTTGATGTTAAATGTAAATCTGAAATGTTAATTAACAATTGAAAATGAATTTTTAGTATTTAATTTTCATAATCTATGCCTTAAATTAAATAAATAAATAAGGAAAATCTTTAATGTTTCATAAAAGAAAATATCACCAATTTGGAAATTATATAAGAAGCTCCAATGGGTCCAAGCACCCTACTGGAGTACATGGAAATGAAAAATCAGATGAAATTGCCATATTGGCAATAGTAAGTTTTCTGCTTCAAATGAACGAAATCTAAAAACATTAAGTATTTTTATTATGTTAATTGTAAAATGCAGTTTTATTATTTTTCTTATAGTATTCGTAACTTCAAACACTGCATAATTTGTGCTATTTAAAGATCAGTTATATGTGCATGCTTGGTTAAATCAAATCATGATTATATTATAAATATGAATATTTGAATTTAAGTTTTTATTATTATTTTCTGTTTAAGTGGCTTAATTTTTGTATATATTTGTGATAGCAGGAAAATTCATGATTTTTTTTTTTTTTTTTTTTTTTTTTTAAGTTTCATTATACGCTGTTAAAATGAAGAACAGTTTTTAATGCACATATTATGCTGCTGTGTATATTATTCAAAGATATTCAATATGCAAAAATGATTGTTGATTTTAGTATTTGAATGAAGTGAACATTATAATCTGTTATTCCAGAAAACAGACTATGCTAAGATATGATACAAAGAGGAGATGTTAAGAAACCACTTTAAATATGAATTTTTAAATGTATGATTTTTGTTATCAAGTATAGTTTTATTTTCATTGCTTAATTTGATATATGTTATAACAAAGAAACAGTAAATTAAACAGATTTTTATGACATATTTAGAGAAAAGCAGATTTTCATGCATATAGTAAGTTATAATATGTATTATTCAGAGTTCTTCCATACAGCATGCAGAAAAAGGCTGCTGATGTTAAAAAGTGTATGAAATGATTATGGTAATCTGTTGTTTTCTAAAATATAGAAATTAAAAATAAGTCTATACATTTAGATATAATCAAAAGAAATGGTGTTAAGGAAACATCAGCATTATTTCTAAATATTGCAATCCATAATTATGTCATTCTTTATTAATCGCAAATTGAAATTTACTTACTTTCCTTTTGGTATCTGTGCTTCCAAATGCTGTGTAGGCCCACCAGCAGCCGAGCGATAAAACTGAACTGGTAGTTCCGACCTGAAAATGAGTAGTTCCAACATGGGTTCTACTCCACGTAACTAGGTTGGCTGTATGAGCGTTTTCCTGGTTTTCCCTATGTGTATACAAGCCAGATTCCTTCAGAAAGTCTTCCACGAAGGCATCCCTCCCTTTAGGCAGATAACCCTAGTGTGCTTTGTTGTAATAAATTAAACAAAACAAAACACTGTGTAATTTATGTTTTTTCTTAAAAATATTTCATTGATGTATGCTGTTTATTAGGTTATCTCATTATTAACGAAGATTCAGTATTACTCGTGCTCAAGAAACATATGATAAAGTTAAGACTGTAGCTTTTGTTTCACAATTCTAGAACTTTTTCATCATTCATGCCACAATGGCAGGAACACACTCTGGCTTTTTTCTCTTTTTTTCGTACAGCACTGCCCAGATGTTTTAACGCAATCAGTTATTTTCTGCCACTTGGAAAGTCTGTTTTCGGGGATTCATGTTAAATTAGGCTCAGGTATAAAAATGATTTCTTTGCTGATAAAAAAATGTCCGAGAAACAAAACTCTATTATCGTTAGGATCAGAAGAAATATGAGAAAGGAGATGTGAATTTCAAGAACCCTTTGATTTGTATGAGACAATTGTTAAATTGTATGACAATTGTTAAATTGTCATACTTAATTATATCCTCTACACTTAAATTAGTATTTATCACAACAAGTTTCAAATGGTATTTGAATGATTTTATACCAGCCTCCCA